CAGACGTGTGCTCTTCCGATCTCCCCAAAACCCCAAAACCCCAAAACCCCACATGTGAGAGTAAATGTATTTTAAAGAAATGTATTAATAGTGACTCCATTTAAGTATTCTAGTAATTTTTATCAATAATTAATAGTATCTTTTTAAATGGGAAACATTTGTGTGGCTAAATCAACAGCTGAAATATTTGAAAATGAATTCTAAGCTAATAGTAGACTCATGAGACCATATAACATTGACTCTGAAGAGGAAACAAAAGATGTATTAACATTAACTTTTAAGCATATCCTTACAAAAATTTATAGGAATATGTAGTACTTGAACACATTAGACCTGGTCATGAGTTGCAACATAGATAATCATCTGCTACAAATTACAATATTCATTCATCCTCAACTACATCAGCAGATAATTAAAAGCAGAAAGAACTATAAGAGGCAGAGAGAAGAAAAAAAATTGAAGTAGAACGTCTGCATGATGAGAAAATGAGATTATTGGAAGATGAGCAAAGAAAGCAAAGAGAGGCTGACGAATAGAAGAGAAAGGAGCAAGACAAGGAGCGCAAGAGATAACTTAAGGAAGAAGCAGCTAGACTTGAGAGACTTCAAGAGGAGGAGAGATAAAGAAAAGCTGACCTAGAGTTATAAAGACAATAAGAAGCTGAGGAGCAAGAGGAGAGAAGAAGATTAGAAGAAGAAGAGGAAGAAAGATAAAGATAGCAATAAGAAGAATTAGACAATGCAGGTTCAGAGCCAGAAGACGATACAAATGAGGACACTGATGCTAATAATAGAGCTTCTATGCCATACATCAAGGAAACACAAGACCCAAGCAAACTAAAGCACGTAGATGAAGATGACTAATGATAGTTCTGCCATAAAGCTTAACTTTAAGAAAATAAATAGTGACTTAAACTTCTACTTAAACACTCTTAAAATTGAAATATATCTATTTAATTTAGCGATATCACTGCCTATGTGAAAGAATATTTTCCTATAGGGGTTTTGGGGTTTTGGGGTTTTGGGG